TACTACAGCTGGGTTACAGTGGAAGCAGGGATAGAGCAAGGGTGGGCGGCTAATCCAGGGTGGAGAGCCGTGCAGCAAGACCTCAAGGATGCCCACTGATGCTTGTTGGCAAAGGGAAATAAGGGGGAATTCGCTTTTGGACATCAAAGGGCCCATCAGATAATTTGGGGGCATTTTAGATACGAGTGAGCAGGAAATTGGGGAATGAACCGGGAGATGAGGACTGCTCCAAGCAGCCGAAAGTGGCTTGGATAGAGAGCCACTTTTCAAAGGTTAGAGGATCTATGGTGAGAGGGGAGTGTTTTGGAAGAAGGAAGCTAAATGTGTAAAATGCTGCTCCGACAGGGACTTTTTCCTGATTTCCAACCAGGACGGGGCTGCGTGTAACCTGAGCCCTTCATTCCATGTTTCACAATCTGAGGCCCCGTCTCAAATTTCCCCCTATTATTGAGTAAGCTCGTTGCTAGAGTGCGGCCTTGGAGGGTCCCTCGGGGTCTTCCATCTTCTGTCAGCCCATCATTCCTCTCCTAGGCAGGCCGACATGCCTGCAGTTTTGCCTCGGCCTGGAAGAGGGACGGAGGACAGGCACGGGGCACCAGGCAGCGGAAAAGATGTGCTTCTGACGCTCGCTTCTGAGCCAGCAGTGCAGCTCGGGCTGAGTTAATGCGACGGCACACAGGTGGCTCTCGCTCCCGCCCAGCACAGCACAGCCACTCCCAGTCACCGCAGCGGAACGAGCATGTGGCTGGAAACCAGGGGGCAGAGCCGGGGTTGGTGTGACCCTGAAGCCCATGTGGTTCCCTTCGAGGGACCTTCAGAGCGCTGACCTGCATCCAGCCAGGCTCTCGCTGTGAAGAAGAGCAGGGTTTGTTTACCTCCGTTCTGGCTGATGGGAGCCTGGCTGAGTGATGGTTGCTGGTCTTCTGTGCATTCCCAGTGTCTCAAAGATAGTAGGTCTCCTTGTGAGTCAGCCTGGATGCTTCATGCAGGTCCTTTGGGATACGCAGAACCTTTCAGTGCATTGTCGGGGCTGCACCATTGCCAAGTTGAGGCATTCCCAGCAGGGCTGCAATATTCAGGTCTGAAAATGCCCCGTCAAAGTGATGGCCGGGTCTCTTCCCACTTGACTGCCTCACTGGGAGCTGATGGAGGAGGTGGTCCATGGTCTGGATCTTTTCTTTCCAGCGGTCCTAGCAATTTTTGTCTTTCTGTGTGTGTGTTCCTTATGCCACATCTCTTTGCATTTGGTAAGAGTTCTTCAGATGTGTTTTGATCTGAACTTTACTGCCAGTGCAATATCCTGAAATATTAGCTTTCATTTCTTACTGGATATATTTCCTTGTCTGGCCACCTAGACAGTTCAGAGTTTCTCAAGAGTTCACTATGTGTGAGCTCTTCACTTGAAGGCAATTCCTCAGAAGCGAGGCTTTGGCAGGGCCTCCAAAGTGCAGAAGGGGGAACGTTGGAGTTGTTGGCAAGAAAGTTGCCAACTTTGCCTTGAGCTGGAATGAGCTCAGCTGTTTTGGCCTTTCATTCCTTCCAAGATTTTCATTTTCTCTTTCTTCCCAAAGCAGATGAATTGCAAGACAGTCGAATTATATGGATCCCTGTGTCATATCATCAGAAACAAGTGAGGACGAAGTGAGCAAAGAGACATTTCCAAATGCACAGAATGCAAAAAGCACAGGGAAAACCAAGTAAAGAACAGGAGACAATAATCCTGTATTTCTCAAAGTGCTGGAAACCATCTTCTGGAAAGATACCAGAAGTTCAGAAAAGAGGAAAGAGAATGGTCCGGGGTATCACAAACTCACAAAGGATCAATGAAAACAATCAATTGAACTGTAGCAACTCCAGAGACTGAATGAATTTGCAGAATGTTGAAAGAGATCCATGCAGGAACCTCGCTCTCCATCTAGCTCTCTGCAGGACGCAGATGAACATGTCTACTTTGGGACGAGTCACAGAGAGCGAGAACTGACTTAATAGGCAACAGCGATCCAACAATTGAGGAGGCCCTGTATAATCATGGAAAGTAGGGAGAGCGTAAGGGCTGGTGAGAGGCTTCCAGAGGATGGAGGAACCCAGCCTGGAGAGCAGCAAAATACATGCATGGGATATTGTAAGACCTTCGGTGATCCAGGTGGTGTTTCTAGATGCGAAAGAAAGCACATTGGGGAGATCGGAAATAAAGGCATGGAATGTGGAAAGAGCTTCAGTCAGCATGGACATCTGATAAGGCATCAAAGAACTCACACTGGGAAGAAGCCATACACGTGCATGAAATGTGGAAAGAGCTTCAATCAGAGGGGAAATCTTACAACGCATCAAAGAACCCACACTGGGGAGAAGCCACACACCTGCATAGAATGTGGAAAGAGTTTCAGTCAGAGGATATGTCTTATACTGCATCGAAGAACCCACACTGGGAAGAAGCCATATTCATGCATGGAATGTGGAAAGAGCTTCATTCAGTGTGGACATCTCATAATGCATCAAAGAATCCACACTGGAGTGAAGCCATACAAATGCATGGAATGTGGAAAGGCCTTCAGTAGGTGTGGAGAGCTTACTCAACATAACAGGACCCACACAGGGGAGAAGCCATTCAAATGCATGGAATGTGGAAAGACCTTCTGTCGGAGTGGAGAGCTTACTCAACATCACAGGACCCACACAGGGGAGAAGCCGTACAAATGCATGGAATGTGGAAAGAGCTTCAGTCAGAGTGGAGAGCTTACTCAACATCACAGGACCCACACTGGAGAGAAGCCATTCAAATGCATGGAATGTGGAAAGACCTTCAGTGGGAGTGCAGGTTGTATTCATCATCGCAGGACCCACACAGGGGAGAAGCCGCACACATGCATGGAATGTGGAAAGAGCTTCCGTCAGAGGAGATGTCTTATGCTGCATCAAAGAACCCACACTGGAGAGAAGCCATACACATGCATGGAATGTGGAAAGAGCTTCACTTTTAGTGGAAGTCTTACTCGACATCAAAGAACCCACACAGGGGAGAAGCCATACAAATGCACGGAATGTGGAAAGACCTTCAGTCAGAGTGGATATCTCATAACGCATCTAAGAACCCACACTAGAGAGAAGCCATACCAATGCATGGAATGTGGAAAGACCTTCAGTAGGAGTGGAGAGCTTACTCAGCATAACAGGACCCACACTGGAGAGAAGCCATACAAATGCATGGAATGTGGAAAGAGCTTCAGTCGGAGAGGATGTTTTATACTGCATCAAAGAACCCACACTGGGGAGAAGCCATACACATGCATGGAATGTGGAAAGAGCTTCATTCGCAGTGGAAATCTTAGAAAGCATCGAAGAACCCACACTGGAGAGAAGCCATACACATGCATGGAATGTGGAAGACGCTTCAGTCAGAGGAGACCTCTTACACTTCATCGAAGAACCCACACTGGAGATAAGCCATACACATGCATGGAATGTGGAAAGACCTTTTGTCAGAGTGGACATCTCATAAATCATCAGAAAACCCACACTGGAGAGAAGCCATACACATGTATGGAATGTGGAAAGACCTTCAGTCGGAGCGGACATCTCATAAGGCATCAAAAAACCCATACAGGAGAGAAGCCATACACATGCACAGAATGTGAAAAGGCCTTCAGTCAGCATGGACATCTCATAAGGCATCAGAGAACCCACACTGGAGAGAAGCCATACACATGCATGGAATGTGGAAAGACCTTCAGTGGGAGTGGAGATCTTACTCATCATCACAGGACCCACACGGGGGAGAAGCCATACAAATGCATGGAATGTGGAAAGGTCTTCAGTGGGAGTGGAGGTCTTACTCAACATCACAGGACCCACACTGGAGAGAAGCCTTACACATGCATGGAATGTGGAAAGGCCTTCAGTGGGAGTGGGCATCTCAGAAGGCATCAAAAAACCCACATTGGAGGCTTCCGGTTTGGCGTCATGGCGGCACAAATGTGAGGAGCGCGGGTTCCTGCTATCACGCCGGTATTTGTTTGACCGAGAGCCGTGGGAGGCTCATCTAAGCCCTGTCGGGGCGAAGATTAGATTGTCCGGGCACTCTTGTAATTGTGCGGTGTAGCGGCTCCGCATTTATTGGGAGAGATTTGGTCTTTTCTCAGTCGGACAACACAGAGAAGAGATAACAGCTCCCTACAAGCCATTTACATCCGGGAGAATTGCGTAGAAGAATTAGCTGGAAGTTCATTGGACCTGCTGGATCAGCTTTTTTATCTTTTTTTTTCTTCTATACTACCCGGGAAGAGCAGCAGCAGCTTCTAATTTGGCATAAAGAAAAACAGGGAAGCCCTTTGATGGAGGGAGGAATTCTTCCTCCCCTCATGGAGTTTTAAGTGGCGACTGTTCTGGGGGAGAGGAACTGAGGCTCTTTTGGGAAGTTTGGGGCTGGAGAGAAAGGCCTTTTTTTTCTAACCTCCCCAAGGGCGAGGAATCAGAATAAATAATTACTCTGGAATAACGTGATAGAAGATAAAGTTTACCTTGATTGGCCATTTTTCTGTCTTTTTCTTGGACTCTTGCCAGAAAGAATTGGACTCTTGCCAAAACAACTTTCATACCAAAATATCACCATGCTTTCTTTGTGTCGCCATATTTTTTTTGCCGTTTTTTGGAAAATATCAAAAAGAGCTACATAGGATGCTTCCTGCGATACGGACACCCTTAACAGATTTGCATACATGCCAAGACGCAATGTTAATTCAACAGGAAAACATTTCAATTGAACAAAGAGAATGTCTCAACAAATTGGATAATTCTGTTAAGGGGGTTTTGGTGGTCATTCAATTTAAAACTGAACAAAATACACAAAAAATACAACAATCATATGAAACCCTTAAATGGTGGATAAAGAAACACAATTAATAATGCCAATAGAGCGGTTATCATGGGATTCACTTGTTTTATTAGAGAGGGAGGAGGTATCCAGATATTTGAGAGAGCCTATGTTTAGGTGGCTATTGACAGAAGGAACATCTCTTACCTGGAACGTTACAAGACACAAACCGGACTCGATTGTTAAGGCACAAGAGTTGAATGAAAAATTTAGAAGTATGTCTGAAGAGGCAGAATTGGGTGCCTCAAAAAAAGGAGGGATAGGTGCCGAACTAACTACATATCATTCTGAGGAAGGAGAAATAGTGAATACTGATTTGCAACAAGCACTCCAGATACTGAAAACAAAAGAAGAGAGATGGGGCAGGGGTGTAATGAAGAAACAGAAGAATTTTCTTTTTTAAAAGAAATGATTTAAATGGGTTGACATGTTTATATGTGGTATGAGATGGCTAAGTTACATGATTTTTTTTTAAAGTTGCTATACTAGAAAACCATTCATGTTGGTGTAGGAAAAGGTATACTAAGATGTTTTTTTCACCCATGGAAGCTTCTCTGTATCCAAATATATTGAATGTTGAAGGGATTATAAGATATGATGTACATTTTGGATAAAGATGGAGGATTGAAATTGAGCTAAGAAATACAAGAACAAGGAGTTGGTATCTTTTGGTGACATAAGGTGCAGATACAATCAAGATATGTTAAAGATTGTAAAGAGTGGGGTTTTTATAAGGAGTTCATAGTATTTGACTAAGTGATGCTTAAATTAGATGAAATATTAACAACTTCATATAAAGAAAGCTTGTATACGATGTGTTATAGGTGGTAGCTGTCGCCAGATAGATTAGCCAACATGTTTTTAAAGATGTCAAATGGATGCTGGATATGTAAACATAAATTGGGTATTTTTTATTGTATATGGTAGAGGAAGTGGTACAAAAATCCTTAGTTTCTTCAACCTGAAATTTCTTTTCTCATTAGGCATTATACTGGGACATTAGTAAATAAGAAATGTATCCGATTTTACATGTAATCATTGCAGTGAGGAGTGTATTTGCTTAATACTGGAACAATGAGGAATTACCCATCGATGAATTGATTAAAAGATCCTGGATTGTGCAGAAATGGTCAGACTGAATTAATCCTTGAAGGAGAAAGAAGATACTGACTTCTATCAAACTTGGGATTTTTTTCTTTTATTATTGGCTAGAGAAACAGGACTTCACATAGACTTCAACATCTTTTTGGACTTGGCTTAGATTTAAATATGTTTTTTAAGTTATCATAAATGGATTTGAATATGACTAAGGAATGTTTTAAAAAAATGAGTAGGGGGCTGACCCAGTATGTCTGATGTATTAGATGATTGATGTTTTAGCGTTAGTTTAAAAATTTTAATGAAATTTATTTTAAAAACCCACACTGTAGAGAAGCCATTCACATTCATGGACTGTGGAAAGGCCTACAGCCCTTACTTGACCTCAAAGAATCCACACAGGGAGGAAACCATACACATGCATGGAATGTGGAAATGCCTTCAGTGGGAGTGGAGAGCTTACTCAACATCAAAGAACCCGGGGGGGGGGGGGGGGGGGCTCTGCAGAAACATGGCTTGGGTGAGGGAGGAATCTTGAGGGTAGGCTGTGTGATGAAAATGTCAGCCCATTTCACTTTCGCTCTGAAAATGTCAGATGCCGTTCTGGTCACAGTGGGGAATGGAAGCAAAGATACAATTTCTGGGTCTTATTCCGCTTGTACAGTTCTCTGTAGCAACTGCACTAGCAACACCGTCCCATGTTCTGGTTGTCCCAGAGACATTCAGGGAGAATCTGGACAGGCACCTGAGTGGGATGGTGTAACTTGGTGTCTTGCAACAGGAGGGTGTTGGCCCTGATGGCCTTCATTGCCCCTTACGGCCCCACTAGGCTACGATTCTTCCTCCCCCCTAAGACTTGAACCGGGGATCAGCCCCTGAACCCCGTTGGTGGAATGCTTAGGGCAGATCAAAGGACTTCTTTCTGCACACAGCGTATCGCTTCACTGCAGGATTTGCTGCCATGGGAGATAGTAATGCCCACAGTTGAGATGGCTTTAGGCAGGAATGGAGCAGGTCCCGGGAAGTACCAACCATTAGGACAGAGCGCTGGGTGCCTGGCCTGGATGGATTTCAGGGTACAGTGGGCCACTGGGTGGAGCTGGTTCAGCAAAGAATCATGAGGCAGGAGTCTTAAGATCCGTTCTGGATTTGACAGGAAGACCATTAAGTCCAGCATTTTCTTTGAAA